AGAGGATGAAAGTTGTAGAAGAAGTCACTTCTGCACCAAAGAAAATAAATTCTGAGGAGGTCACTCAAAGAAGAATACCAGTTGATAATTTTCCTATGTTCTTCGCAAATGAACCAAGGGAGATTATTCTGAAGTACATTGCAGAGTGTCTGAAGGATGGAACTCCTCTGCCAGCAAATCTGGTTCAGAAGGCAGGTGAACCTGCTCCAGATCTTTATGAGGCCAGACACAAGAAGAAGAGAAAGGTTGATGAAGAAGGATCTTCTAAACCCAAGAGGAAGGCTACTGGTGAAGCTGCTGCTGTCAAGCCTAAGAGGGTCAAGAAGCAAAAGGTCAATCCTCCAGAGGCAAGTTTAGATTCTATTCTTGAAACTGTCAAAGAGGTATTAACATCTGACCAAACTCTACATGAACCTATACCATCACCTTCACCTTCTCCTCCTCGTGTTTCTAAACCTAAGAAACCTTCTGTTACAACTCCCTCTGTACCCCAACCTCAAGCAACTCCATCTGAAAAGTATACATCTGAACCAACACTTTCTCAACCATCTGATATTCCCCTATCTGACAAACAAATACCTGCACCACTATCATCTGAAATTCCCCCACCAGAACCACAAACTTCAAAACCTATAGAACCAACACCACAAGAACCAGAACAACAACAACCACAACCAGAACAATCCATTCCTTCTAATCCTGAACCAGAATCTATCCAACCTTCTGAACCCTTCATATCTAACTCTGTAGTCCTAGATATTCAACCTTTGACAACTCTGGTTGATATCTCTTCCACATCCTGTCATTCATTTGAATCATCTGATTCATCTGAATCTGACTTACCACTAGAAATAAACTCACCACCCTCTCTCCATGGCTATGAACCTAAAACATCTGAGTTTGTATCCTTTGCTTCTTTCAAACCTGATCCTTCTGATCCCTTTCCATATGGTCTAAAACTCAAAAACTCTTACAGCAGCATAGAAGCATCTGACCCTACCATTCCATATAAACCTACTTCTTCAACTATCCTTCCTTCTGTACTTCAAGCCTATCTAACACAACAACCAGATATCATTCCACCTGAACCTCTACATTCTCAAAACTCTGTTTTTATCCCATACACTTCTACACCATTTGATGTCATTCCCTCTGCATCAAATTTCAAACAGTTCCTGTTTCCCAAATCATCTTCATCCAGATTCAAAACTTTCATTTCATTTGAACATCCTTCATTACCTTATTATCCTCGTCCTCTGTTCATTATCCCAACCTTTACCATACTATCCCCACCTGAACAACCCAAACCATCACCTCTGGAAGCCTACCTTAAACCTAAAACCAGGCTAGATGTTAATGCTTTGTTTGCTAATTTCAAGAAAGAAATCAGGATGAGTTTAGACTCTGTAAAGGAGGAATGTCTCTCAAGAATTAATCCATAAGCTTCTGAAGAATGCTGGAATAAGTTTATTGCCAGATTCAACTCTGTGGCTTCTAATCTGAAGACCATTTGCTCTGATGACATAAAGGTCAAATTAGCTGAAGTTGTCAGACATACGCTATTGAATGCGAACAGATCTCCAACATTGCTTCTTGAGGATTCACCTTCAACTTCTGAAGTAACTGCTACTTCTGAGACTATTGAAGAATATGCTCCTGAAGTCACTCTGGAAACCAATCCATTAGCTCTGATGATTGTAGACCAACCATCTGAATCTGTGCCTCCAGAATCTGCATCTGCAATGATCATTGACTTTGCTCCTACTCCTGCATCTGAATCTGCTCCTTCTACTTCTTCTGAAGTTAAGAAAGAGAATCCAGACCTAGAAGACAAGATTGTTGTGCTGGAAGCTGGTCAATCTGAAATAAAATCTTGGATGGCAAAACAAGATGAGAAGACAGACAACATACAGAAATGGATGGCTAAGCAAGAGGAATCTACTTCTGAGATGACCCACATCCTTAAACTTCTTGCATCACGCCTATCTTAGTTCTTATGTTTGTGCACTTTAAGTGTTATTTTGTTCTGTTTCTGCTTTTTCTGAATCATGTTTTGTTCTGAATGTACTCTGATTATCTCTGAATGAATATGTTTGTTTTTACATCTGTTGATGTTATCAGTTTTATGTTATTTTCTTCTATTAATCTTTTCTGTCTTAAAGAGTTTTCTTTTTGATTATGACAAAAAGGGGGAGAAAAAGAAATTTTGTTTGTTCAAATATAAACAGTTACTAAAATAAAATTCAGACATAACAAATTATATCTAACATTGAATTTTAGTCTTTCAGAACTATAATGTATCATCTGATAAAATTCATTGAAGTTACCCTGAGAATCCCCATAGCATACTTTTACTCAAATCAGGTTTAACCAGGCTCTGATAAGTCAAACCAGGTTCTGATCCTAGAAGTTAATCAGGTTCTGATTATGGAAAATAAACCAGGCTTTGTTCTTGGAAAGAAAATCAGTAAGAGTAAACCAGGCTCTGGTTCTGGAAAGCAAATCAAGCTATTACCAAGCTCTGATTCTGGAAAGTATATTCTAACCAGGATTCTAACTAGAAGTTTTTCAACCAGGCTCTTAATCTGAATAGTATACTCATGCAAAAAGGGAAGTATTTTCTTCTATTAGAGTATTCATTTCAGGGGGAGATTCTTTATCTCAGGGGGAGTTATATATTTATCCTTTTTATTGAACAAAATTTCCTATATTTTGTCATCATTAAAAAGGGGGAGATTGTTAGAACACATATTGGTGCTTAATTATATCTCTATGTTTTGATGATAACTCTAATGAAATTTTGTATTAAGAAAATATATACTCTAATTTTGTTCAAGTGTTTTTGTTTCAGATATTAAATTAAATATTCTTATGGAAGCAAAAATGCATCTGAACAGTAGTCTACGCAAAACTCTGAAGTATCAGAAGCAAGCTATCAGAAGACTCTGAGCGCTGCCAGAAGAGACTCTGAAGCAGAAGCTGTAGAAGACTCTGAAGCAGAAGCTGCAGAAGGATCTGAAGCGTAGCTGAAGATTTTGTATGAAAAGACTCTGATGTTGTTTACGTTTGAAAAGATGTCAGCACATGAATAGACTTGGTATTATTCTCAACGTCCTTTCCAACAGAACTATTCCTTATTTGTGATAGACACAAGGATTCAGGCAAAAGGCATTTCTCTGAACATTCAACTTCTGAGAAAGGAAAAGTCATGTGAAGACAAAAGGCTACAACTACTCTACTTGCACAGTCTTCAAGCATTGGACTTTCAGCACTATAAAAGGACGTCTTCTACATCTCTTCAAAGTTGACGAATTACTGAGAAATCAAATCAAAACTACTCTCAAGCTCTCATACAAATTTTGTTTCATAAGCTGAATAGTTTTATTCGTTCTTAATCTAAGTGTAAAAATCACAGTTTGTGATATAGATTTTTAGAAGCATCTTAAACACTTGTTTAGTTTACATTAATTTGTAACAGGTTCCTTAAGAAGACCAAGTTGTGGTCCGAATTTCTTGAGAAGATAAGACAGTCGTTCTTAGTGGTTGACACTGTAATCTGTTTGAATATAGTGGATTAAGTCCTTGTGGAGAAAGGAAAATCACCTTGATAGGGTGAACTGGATTAGTCGAGTTCAAGGAACCAGGATAAAAATCTTGTGTTGTTTTTTATTGCCATATTTTTTCTAAACCCTTATTCAACCCCCCCCCCCCTTTTTCTAAGTGTTTTTCTCACCTTCAAATATTTCCTTCTACTCTGCATGGTTGGCTTGTGTTTCACGTTTGACGTATCCTCATCTCCCTGAGCGCACCATGCGACAATTCGACTACATGTATATTCCCATAGACCCTTCTGTGTCTGCTCCTCCCGCTATGACACGTAGAGTTATAGATGATATGTTTGATGATTTTCTTGATCATCTGGTACCGGAGGAGACACATAGTACCATAACTCCTAGCGACTAGAGCTACGCAGATGGTTAGATCTGGTGGTTCTTCAGGATGTCACATCCTTATATGGTATAAGATGCTATAGGAAATCCACTGAGGTTTGCTCATTAGGAAATACTAGATGAGGGTCAGGCTATGGCAGATCATGTATTGATGTGTTGTTTAGATGTCATCGTATCATAAAGATTGGGTATACGAGTATTAACAAAAAATTCTTTTTGGATGACTCTGAGACCCGAGACTTTGTAGATGTCATGTTGACGGAGGCATTGCAGTACAAAAGGCAATATAGGAACAGGGGGTCCCGAGTCCGTCATACGCACTAGTTTATAGTATTTTTACCCTAGATTTATTATCGATTGTATTCTATTTTGACTTATTTTGACTTTATTGTGTACTCTGGATTTATTACTTTATATATGTCATCTTCTTCATATCAATTATATGGTCTAATTCATAATAGTATAACTGCAATATATCATCAATTTCGTCTGAGCATCACTAAAACAAACTTAAAATTTATTGTCTGGTGTGGAATTTTGTCTGGTGTGAATACATAGGCGCATCTCCAAAACAATTTATAAAAACAATTTATAACAAAAAATGGTGTTTCAATGAAGGATGTATGATGTGTATATTGAATTATACCAAAGTTGTTTTTCAAGAATAAATTTTGAAAATATATTAGATATGACTCTATTTTAACGTTTTGACTGATGCAAATGATTTGCTCAAATATATATCTCTAAAATTTGAAGGACAATTTTTAAAGAATGCTTTTCCACCAATTAGGGTGGAATTAGTTATTCCCTTCCTTTATAATCATACAAATGAACCAAAATTTTGGACCAGGCCCAAGGCCTATAATGTGGAAAGAAAATGTCGTTTTTTCCGTTATACTCGTGGAATATCCTAACCCACTCTCGTCGTTCTCGTCGTGTCACACTCATAACAGAGATGCACAATAATTAAGAAATAGACATAGTTATATTATCAATTTCATTTTTCACATATTTGCTGGAAAAAAAAATTGACACGAAAAAAGAAAAACCATGGATCTCAAAATTCTCGTTGTGTTCGTTCTTTTTCTGAATCTCATATCAAAATCGTTCCAAAACCCTAACCCTAATCCCAAAATCCCCAAATCGGTTCCATCACCGGCACACCTTGAACTCGCTAGTTATGGTTTCCCCGTTGGTCTTCTTCCCGAAACCACCGTGTTATCCCACGTCATCAACCAAACTACCGGCGACTTCTCCGTCAAGCTCGGTGGCGCGTGTAAAATCACGCTTCCTCCCGATAACTATGTTGCTACCTATTCCGATACCATTACCGGGAAAATTGTGAAAGGTAAGATCGCTGAGCTTGATGGAATTAGGGTTCGTGCTTTCTTTAAGTGGTGGTCTATCACCGGAATTCGCTCTTCCGGTGACGATATTGTTTTCGAGGTTGGTGTGGTCACCGCAAAGTATGCTTCGAAGAATTTTGAAGATAGCCTGGCTTGCGAGGGTCAGCATTCTTCTTCATGATGAAAAGGTTAGGGTTTTAATTTTAGTGTACTTTGGTGTTTAATTCAGAGTTATTTATTTACTTTTTCAGTTCAAAATCCATGCAAGCGAATCCCTTCATGTTAGATTCTATAAGATTAGAGTTAAAGTTTTGATTTTTAAATAGTTTTATTTGAGAATCTTCACATTTGATTGCGAATCCACTTTTGGTGTAAAGATATATATTTTTATGCTTTGTCATCACTAATATTTGATTTTAATCCTAGCTATTTTAAAAGTTACACATAAGATGATTTGTGATTAGTTTTCTGGTGTGCTTTTTTAAAATTGATAGTGTATTAAAAGTTAACTCCTTTATTGCTTTAGATTTATGTTGCATATGAGTATATTAAGATTTAAATATGGATAGAATGACAAAAGAGATATCTACTACTAGATAGTGCTTTCGTTTTTTCTTTGTCCTGACTCTCCGATTCTTGAGGAAAGGGTCCCTTGAAAATTAGAGTTCGATCAAAAGATAAGTGAAGTCTGATGAGTGATTGTTTCGATAAGATGTCAAAGTTGGATAGTCCGATCGGTTTGATCTTAAATGAAATCCATTAATCGTTTGAACCATATCCAACCAATTGGTTGATAGTGCTTTCATTTTCATCCTGTGTGAGCTAATCCACTATGTTTTGTTAGTTTTTACATTGCAAGAGGCAAGAAATGGCATGGGGCCCTGAAAATAATAGATATCTAATCTTTTGGGGACCTTTATGTTCTTCACTTTCAGAGGTTTTTATATCTGCCTTCTTTATGGTTTGTACAAGTTGACTCGTTCCAACTACAAGCCAACATGTCTGTTATCTAGGCATTAATTTTTGAGACATCATCATGGAGTTATAGATTTGTATTTTAAAATGCTTGAATAGATATCAATCAATTTTAATGATTTTACTTGCTATATAAGCTTTTGAAAAAGTTTCTGCTGGTTGTTTGTTTCCTGACAATTATTTCTCTTTTCTTCAACATGAAGATCCATGTAGAGCATTTTGTTTAGGCTGCTAAAACTTTTATGGTGCTTTAAAATTTTCTTTCCTCTCTTTTGTAGTAGTTGATATCATACTTTGAAATAGTTATGCCTTTCTTCTGTTGTTAATTTGTCATTATACCAATTGTTTCCCTCAAAATCTTTTTAGTATCTCTTTTGAAGTTTTTTCACAGCTATATCAAGTGTATGATAATGTGGATTTGACTAATATTTTTACTGTATTTAACTATTTCTTACATTGTCAATGTTTTTTACATAATTAGTCATGTCCTGTCTTAGTTGTCCATTTTTGTTATTTGGCTGAGATGATTCATATGGATTAGTGGAACTTAATGTCTTTTGATTTCCTTACACTTCTTTGGAATGATCATTTCTATTGCCTTAAACAAGTGACTAAGTGGTTGCTTTGGCCCAATTTAACCAATCTTTCTATTGGCTCATCGATACTATATAAATCTGTAAACTGCTTTTTTTTCTTCCTTAGAAGTTAAGTAGCTTAAATTTCTATATCGCCCGACTAGTTTATTTGATTAGGTACTTATGTTCATTTTGGTTCTTACTAGTTACTGCGATATGCAGACTGCATATGGCATTTCCTAAGTTTGAAGCCTTTTTTGTTAAGCTTGACCTTCCACGTAACGGGTTGATTCACTTTAACTCAGTACAACAACAACAACAAAAAGCAACAACCAAGCTTTATCCCACTAAGTGGGTCGCATATATGAATCAACTTCCGCTGTATGAAAACAACTTATAACATTTATAAAAACAGTTTACATGTATTTTAAAAAAAAAAATAAAAACAGCTTATACGAGCTAATTCTTAAACACTTGTTTTGTTAAGCACTTGTGTTATAAGTTACAAATAAGCTGTTTATCCAAACAGACCCAAAGTTTATTTTCCAATATCTTTTCTACGGTGCTACACCAACACTCTCTAATATTGTCATTTTTTAAATTTTATTTTGTCTAGTGTTATCACACATTCAACACAATATCATCAACTCTGTTACACTTTATTTTTATGTTGATTCTTAACTGTCCAACATTTTGTCTCATACAATATTGCAGATTTTATAGCAGTCCGATGAAATATTCCCACCTTTGTGTCTCATAATATCTGAAAATTTTAAACAATGAAGAAGTGAGCCGGATTAAAATAGATCTATAAAGTATGAGCTAAATTTTTCAACCAATTTGCGGGTGAGTTGGATAGGATTGGTCCATGGGCCACAATCTATATTGACAAGTCTTGGTTGGATAGGATTGGTCCATGGGCCACAATCTATATTGACAAGTCTTGGTTGGCATTCATCACACGAGGAAAAATAAGCTAAATCATCTTTTCTGCAACTTTTATGAGGGTGTTTATTAACATGAAGACTTTATGCTGAAGCCATGCACGATGATTTGTTGTATATTAGCTTTTTCCTTTTTCTTTTAGGAATAAAAGATTGAAACGAACGTCAAGCTCTCATTATCAATTTTATTATTATAAAATACCTCTATTTTATATTTCTAGGTGCATGCTTTATTATGCATAAAACAAGTTGTTTTGGTGTACCAGAATTTATGCTAGTTGACTTGACTAATGATATTATATTCAAACTTGTACACGGCATTCTTTCCTTTTTAACCACCTTGTATTTGTGTGTGCGTGATGAATTTAACATAGATTTCTTCATATTCTTGACATTTTTGTCCTCTCCTTTATACAGGATATTAGGTGCTTATTCTCAGCCTATGTAAAATTCAGCTTCACTATGTGAAGATAATTTAGAAGCAGCTAGTATTGTGTACCATATTTCCAGGCTAGTAGTGCTTTTCTGTAACGGAATCTATGCCACCACGAATTGTGTTTTTCACGTTACCCACTTTGAACGTATTTTATTTGATATTCTATGTTGTCATTTGTATATTATGCAATAGTAGTGTGACTTGCCTTTCCTAAGTTAAAATGTCATGCAAATTAAATATTCCTCACTTTTTATGAGAGAAGGTAGAAATAAATAATAAAAGTGAGGGATGTAATGTGTATGATACTATGATCCAATACTTTTTATTCATATTGCTTTAAGGTATGAAAGTTAGCTTTGTTGCTTTTTTTTCTTCCATTATTATCAAGGAGACTCTAGTTTAACTTTATAAATCACTGGAGGTATATATTATCAATTCAATCTCTATTACAATGTAACTTCATTGGACACAAGTATAGAGATTGTATTTTAAAATACAGATACTTTATATTTATGAAATCTCTATATAAAGTAACTACAATTTTCTATTAAAAAAAAACAAATAGCTAAGAATAGAGAAGAACTAAAAAAACAGAGCCAAACAACTAAAAACTCCAACTTTACATAGAACATATTAAACATACTAGATCTCACACCATCAATGCTACCTTCAACATAATAGAGACTTCAAGAAGAAGTTTCACACCTGCCATCTACTCTTTCTCTCTCACACACACACAAGTAACAGACCCAAATAACTACTAATTGAAAAACCACCTTCCACACACACACACAAGTAACAAACCCAAATAACTACTAACTGAAAACCACCTTCCAACTATCTTAAATGGATTAACCATAAATAACTACTAACTGAAAAACTAACCACCTTCCAACTACCTTAAATGGATTAACCAACAACGTACCCCCTTATAATCAATTCTAAGTATTACAACAAAACATCAAAACATAAAAAAATATAACTATTGAATTAAACCACTTCTAACTTTTGCTCAAGAGTAAAAAATCTGTCAACTTTTAATCCTTTTATGAAGATGTCAGGCAACTGAGATTCACTTGAGCAATGTCTCAAAAAAATGAAACATAACTTCTATATGCTTCCTTATGCCATAAAGAACATGATTCATGGCCAAGTTGATAGTTGATCTGTTATCCAATTGAAAAAAATGGTTTTCTAACTGTAACCTTTAATTCCTTTAGCGTTGATTCATTCCATATTGCTTGGCATGCTGCATATGATCTTATTATGTATTCAACTTCACATGAATACAATGCCACAATTGGTTTCTTCCTTGAGCACCATGAGATTAGTGCTCCAAAAACTTTGAAAAAATAGCCTGTTGTACTCCTTCTGTCAGAGCTATCTCTAAACCAATATGAATCTTAATAGCATGTAATTACTACATTCATCATCACATGTGTTGCTGGGAAACAAGATACCACAATTTATGGTTCCATTTAGGCACCTTCGAATTCTCCTTATAGCTTTCATGTGTGATACCTTTGAATCATCCATGTATCTGCTTATAAAGTCAACTGCAAAGCTTATGGCAGGTCTGCTATTGTATAAGTATCTCAATGAGCCTAATGTATGCTTAATCAGGGTTGCATTGACCTTGTCCTCATATCCATTCTTCTCAAGTTTCAAGTTTGCTTCAATAGGTGAAGTTGCAGGGCTAGATTCAAGCATGTTGAATCTCTTAAGAACTTCTTTAACATACTTCCTTTGATGCAGAATCATACCAATTCTTAGAAATTCCATGCCTAAGAAATAAGATAGATATCCTAAAGCTGACATTTCAAGTTCCTTCATCATTAGCTGCTTGAACTTGTTCAGATCTTTGATATTGTTTCTCGTGACCAACAAATCATCAACATACAAACATATGATTGTTATGTCACCTCCTTTGGACTACACATATACACCATATTCAGATCTACATTTGGTAAAATCCAACTCCACCAAGTATGAGTCGATTTTCTTATTCCATGACCTTGGTGCTTGTTTGAAGCCATAAATGACTTTGTGCAATCTATACACCATCTTATCTTTCTCTTCTTTCACAAAACTCTGAGTTTGTGTGACATAGACCTCTTCATATAATGGTCCGTTGAGAAATGCATATTTCACATCAAGATGGTATGTCAACCAAATTTTCTTGCAGGCAAAGGCAACTACCAACCTAATTGTTTCCAATTTAGAAATTGGAGCATACACTTCTGAGTAATCA